CCTACCTCCACTTTCTCCCCCTCACAAAAGCGAGCCGTCAAAGCGGCCCCGTCCGGAAACTTGACGCGTACACGAACGAATGACGTCCTCGTCTTATTCGATGGGCATTGGAAAAATAGGTACGGTGATGCCGTTGAGATATTGATATTGGGCCCTTCCCACCTCTTCCCTCTCCCCTCCCACCCCCCATGAGTAGAAACCCCTCTCCCATCTTTTTCTCGCCGTCACCTCCCACAATTCTTCCCTGTGCACCCACCTGCCCACTTTGCCGTCCGTGTCGTTTCCGTTTGGATTGAAAACGACTCAATGACTCTACCTGGGCGCGACGGACCTCGTATGCCTTACGCAGCATGTGTCGGTCAATTGCCAGTTCTCCCTCCTCCTCCGCTGCCGCCATTCCACCAGTCGCCATAGGCTCTATGTTCATTCTTGCTTTTGTATCTGCGCTGCCTTTCCCACCAGGTCGTTCCCGGACGTGGGAGGAGGACAGGAAGGCGGGGGCCGGTGTAAAGGAAAGCTTGCGGTCTCGCGGGCGGCGGATGCCTTCAGCGTCCATTTCTGTTTCGAATTGGAAACGTCGTTCGTCTGCTTCTCGTTCTTGCGCCAATGCGCGCGTCTTTTCCTCTTCTAACATACGTCCTAACTCACGCGGACCCCGTACTCGAGGAAGAGAGGGAGGAGGAAATGGGGAGGATTGAGCGGAGTTTGTTGGGGAGGAGGAAGAGGACGGCGGCGACGAGGCCGAGCAGGACACCGACAATGTTGGGTCATGCCTTTGTAGGGCGAAGGATGTGACGAAGCAGAGCATGATGGTAAGGAAGACAAGCTTGCTGGGAGAGGGGGAGATTGCCGGACCTGTGCAGTCCACAAAACAGCGTGCCATGTCTCGGCCCGGATCCCTGCCTTCCCACCCAGCGAGCCCCACACACTGCGTGTTTTGTAATTATAACGTGGATGGTCAAAAAGTGTGCACAGGCATCTTCAAACTGGAATGCCTGGTGATGTTTCCGGGGAAGTAGGAGCGACAGATGAAAGCACCGGGAAGTAACCTCCTGCCTTGATGTGAATTTCAACAAATCCAATCCCTAGGTACATTGGGCACAAGAGGGGCCCAAAACGACCCTTACTAAATTGTGAATTTGATCTGCATATTTTGTTACCTACTCTTCTGTTCCAATCGCCGGTTGACAGAAACCGGGGCCGCGCTGAACTTCGTGCAGGGAAGACTGGATGAGTAATGACTTGTCTGTGTAATCTTGTCTTTTGAAGGTCACTCCGGTGGTATTTTTGGTATTTTTGAGGAATCACTCGGACAATTACAATTTGCGACGTGGTGACTGGTCACAACACCGGGGAAGAACGAAAAGCTTCATAAGTCGTACGAAATCTCTTTGTCGAGGATAATAATGCTAGGTCAAGGGTACCTAATGAAGCAGTCAGACAAGTACAGGAGAATGCGAAGGGCATCCAAGAGATCGAAACGCATCACGTAGATGCAATGACGGAGGCGGGTCCTCTCCACACACGAAAAAAAAATAACGGATGGAGAAATACATTGCTTTCTTTTCTCAGATGAACCGAGAATCAGCCTGAAGTCACCCAAACACTTCGAAAGTGTCCATCTGCTAGCACTCGTGCTTAAATTTAAGTGTTCGTAAGTCCAGGGGAATGCCTGTTCGCTCGAATGCGCCGTGTCCTTCATTTCCTCGTTTCTCCCCCTTGAAATGCATCCAGCCTCACAACGACAAGAGGGGCCTCGGGACATCATTCTTCGATGTTCTCACGCCAGGTAGCAACCATTCCTGTGGTATAATTCCACTCCCACCACGGGACACCTTGCTTCCTCTCTCAATGCTCTCCCGCTGACGGCATGGCGCATTCTCTCATCCTCCCCACCGCCCCTCCCTCAAACCCATCGTCCCTCCCTGCAGCCGCCCTTACGCCTCCATGCCGTTTTGTACCTCGGTCTCCGTGGCAGTGCCAGCCCCCGCGCCGGCCGCTGCTTTTTCCTTTGCCTCCCAATACGAGTCCATCTCCGTGTCCAATGACGCCTTTTTCCGCTCCGCCTGCGCGATCTTGGGGTCCGGTCCTTTTCCCGCCTTGAAATGATACTCGTCCATCTCCGCGTCCAAATCCTCCTTGCCCACTTTTTTCCCTCCCCCCCTTCCTCCTCCTCGACCTGCCCCACGCCCTCGACCCCGCCCTCCC